GTGCATCTTGCAACACATTATCTAGATCGTCCATTTTCAAGATTTTCATATGTTTATAGATCTACTAGATTTTAACCATTTTTGGATTTTAAAATTTTATAATTAGATATGAAAATGGATTTTTAGATAATCCTAAGAATGTTTTACACCAAAATTACATGTCATGATAAAATTTGGAGGTGCGCCTTAATTGAATTGTTTAAGGTTGCGACCTTATGGAAACCGCAACCTATACTAAATATTATAATATACTAATAACTGGCTAGGATCCGGATTGGATCCACCTATACCCATAACCGATCCGAATTACTATTCGAATCCAAATTTTGGATCCGTCTGACCCATCTGATCCAAATCTTGTATCCATTCCAATATATGGATCCAAACGGGGTAAATTCTCTGCCCTAGATACTAGTACAAGCAACTTAGATTTAAAAAAAGGTATTTAGCAGTTTCATTTCTTGCTAAGGGCTAAATTCCAAGGATCCAGTTACGTCACAATTTTGATTTGAAGTCCCGATTCCTCGATTCCAACAAGGATTCTTTCCATGAAGGCAGGAATCTCTATTCATTATTTTAGGAATTTCTATTCCAACACTTACCAAATTTAATTTTTGATGTTTATTGATTCTTGATTCCACATTTTTTAATCTCGATTCTACATTTGTTGAATCTGGATTGCACATATAATGATACTCTCTCCTTCAAATTAGAAACACAAACATAGGCTCATAAACTATAAAATAAACAATTCACAAACTACGAGAAGCATCAAATCAAAAAGGAATCTCGATTCCATATATGAAGGAATCTCGATTTGGTATGGGTAGATTTCAAATAGGCTAGAAATCAATTCGAAAGAGAATGTAATCTCGATTCCTTTTATGTGAGGACCTCGATTCTATTTGGGTTTAATCTATATTCATAAAAAGTAGGAATCTCGTTTCCCGCAATTCCCCTTATACGGATATTGATTCCGAAACTAATAATCTTCTAGTCAATTCTTATTCAGTGATTCCAATTCCTAAAATAATTCAGAATCCTAGGTGTTTCCAACAACTATAGTTCATACTGCTTCATTAAGTCTCTAACATAGAAATCAACTATAATGCTGTAAACTTCAAAAGTGAATATGTTAATAAACTTATCTTGGATTGAATATTAAAACATTTTTTCAAAAAAAATTTGCTATCCATTGATAGGAATCTATAGCTGTGGAGGTTCATCTTAAAAATCAACGTTTGTGAGTCAGCGGACCAGTGAGCCCGCTGACTCATAAAGGACTTTTCCGACTTTTATTGTTAAGAAGTTACAATATAATACCATACATTATGGACACACCACTTTACAAGGAGTTTTGTCTGGGTCCCTATCCTTGTAACTTTTCATGAACCCGTACCATATCAAAAGCTTGCTTGATTGCCATTGGATTTTCTGGGTTTTGGTTCTTCAAATAGCATATAATAATACATCATTTGAAACTAAAGTCGACTACCATTTTCTGGATAGTTTCTTTTATTTTACCAAGGTGCAGTTTTCAGTGTTCAGGCTACTTGGACTCGGTCCCTTGCAGAGCCTAGCACTCAATAAAACTTGGGGATGTTTAAAAAACTCATAAAATTTATGTTCAATTGTAATCAATTTTATAAATAGTTTATATGTAACTTTGATGTTTTTATTAATAATTTCTAAGTGTTTCTTATCATATAACATATTTCTATATTGTCTTCGTTTTTGGATTCTTCTTAAATGTCTCCAACTATAAATATGTTTTTTTTTTTTAAATCCCTGATTTATATATTTTTTCCATCTTATTTGGACCTCTTAAAGTTATATTGGTCTAGTTTGACTGTTAATATTTTTATTTTATTTTTAAATTTTTTAAAAAAAAATTTTAGGCCATTTTGCCTCCTACACTACTCGGGGAGAGTTACTAGGCTCGGTCCGGCCCGAGTCTTGAGTTCGAGTGGAGCTGTCAAACCTTGGTAGTTTAGTTCAGAGCTTGAAACTTTGGAAGTGAGTCATACAGGTTTTAAGAGTTGTTTCAATCAATGTTGTTAGATTTGCTTCGGAGTCTTTTTCGATGAGGTGAGAGAAATGAAGCAATTCGGTGCTTCGGCCGATTCGGGGGAAGACTTTGGAATATTTTTTTTAATTTAGTATAAATAAATTAGATATTTATAGATAAAATATAAATATATACAAATAATATAAATAATTAAAATTTTAAAAAAATTAAAAAATATATATTTATATAATTATTTCTTTACTGGTCGTAGCATACCGAAGCAAACCTAAAGCGGTCCGAATCTGACTGAAACGACAGCACCAGGCTTCCCTTCTCCTCGGTTCATGCCTAAAATCCCAAGGCTTCGGTCAAAGCGAATTTGATAACATTAGTTTCAATTATTGTTCTTTCGACATTTGTTGGACAATTTTCAATAATCCAGTTTATGGAACACATAACAAATGACCCCATCAGTGTATGATCGAGGTGGGTAGTGTCATCCGAATCGCAAAGCTCTTTTCCAGCAACTCATCTACAAATTTAGATGCCCTTAATGAGGGCTTGGTGGGAGATATGATGCATTCATATCAATGACCATACTTCTCTACCTGTTTTTGTCCTCTTCTCTTTTGCTCTACATGCTATTAAATTACCGAATGACTGTGAAACCTCAGAAATCATGGTGTGATTATTCCTCTCATTTAGTTCATTTAACTACGATTCTAGCATTAGCATCAAAGCATCCGAACTTGTCATCTGGGTATTGAAATGACAATAATGGCTGTTGAATGTATATCTTGGAAGCATCCTTGCATGAACGTCATTTGAACATTTGGCAAAGAAACTGAAGCAAATGAATCTCTCTCTCTCTCTCATTTGTTTAGTGGAAACATTTTAAATTTGACTGATCAAAGAATGAAAAAGAGAAATAAGATGATTAAACTCGATCAACATTCGCATATTTGATTAATGTTCTCAATTTTCTTCCTAAGATTTGTTGCCAAGATGGAGGGAAACTATGGAGAAGTATCACCGAGAATGCCTGTAAGTTTTCCCCTTTACTAATGGTATTTAATGGCATTAAACGATGTTCAAATGATATTTAACTATTTGAATATCTGTACGTTGACTTGTGTTTCTCATGTCTTAGGATCTAATGCAATTTAATAAGTATCCTAATGGCATGGAGTAAAAAAGTTTTCATGGTGTTATTAAAATACTTGTTTCCTGTCAACATTTAGCCATAGTAAGGTTGTGCTGTTACATTGGCAGAAAATGTTATTATATACCGCTTTCTTCCACCTCTCTTATGCCTTAGACTCCCTGTAGTATACGTTGATGGCATAGAGCATCATGAGTTGCAGATCAAAGCTGGCTTGTGAGAATCATGGGTGTCTTAAGGTATATAGATACTTTAAAAAATGAATATCAGTAACTTTTATCTGAATATGAATTGCGTAGTATATGCCCAAAGAGATTTCTTGTAACACATGATAAGCGTCTGTTAACGACTTCCGCAAATTATGGCATTGATGGAGATCAGCAGCAGTCCACTAATTACTTGCATTCATCGATAGTGATTGACCTGGTATTCATATTTTAATATCTTCTATTTATTTTGAAGAATTGAATGATAATAACGTCACGTGCCCTATGTCATATATATTATTACATTTCACCTATTGTGCTTCGTCCTGTCATGAACCACATGATTAGAAGGAATATGAATTGCTCTCATGTTATTTCCTTGGATATGGGTAGGAGACAAAATTTTAATCCAAATTAGGGTTAGTGCCTTGTGATACACTATGTCATTGTTCACACTTTACATGATCGAGTATTTTGATCTGCATTTTACTCAGGTTCCTTTTGATATCTATCAACATGTTTGCAAGTGCCCAACACATATCTAATGGTGCTATAAGGATATTGCTTTTGAAAATTTTGAAAATGTGAGATGTAACTAGGAAATTCTTCTTGCATGGTATAACTCCTATTCTCAATCAATAAAGCTAATGGTCGAGAAACAATCTTTCCTCAGTCCGTTTCATCTATAGATACTCTGTTGATTGCATACATCTTACAAGTTACCCTCAACCTGGTATTAGAGTAAGACAGGTCACGAGTCGTCCTTCCTCTGACATAGAAAGCATCCTGTTTATTGTATTGTATTTGATTTTCACTGATCAGTTTACTGGAATCAATTGATGATGCTTGGTTCATATGGCTGTGTATGTATTGGCTTATTGCTGATTGATCAGAAGGCAAGGTCTAATGGAAAAATAGTGAAAGTTTCCATTTTTTTTATCTTTACTGATGAGAACTTTATGGTTAGTTTATTCAAATTCTATTTTTCATGGTCATGACTTATTGCCTCTAATGTTTTAATCCCACTTGAAATCTTCAAAATATACAGTGATTCATGTTTTGATCCTGTAATACGTCCACTGTACTTGTACAAGTTCTGCAATTTTGGTACTATGTAGTGAGGATTTTCTTTTACAAACATCTATTTTGTTTTGTTCAGTGACGTGGCTAGGTTAGTTGCTAGGCTTATTGCCCTAGCGCTCAACCTAGAAGCTCGTTTTTTTGACAAGCCAGAGATGCTTGGTGAGGCAATGGTGACTTTGCGACTACTACGCTATGAAGGTATAATATGATTTAGGGGTCATTTTTTTCCATTACAGTTAGTAATTTCTTAATTCTTCAAATAAACTTCCTTTGTGATAAAGAATTTCACAAATTTTCTAGGGAAAGCTTCTAATCCGGAAAAAGGCATTTATGGAGCTGGGGCTCATTCTGATTGGGGTTTCCTCACTCTTTTGGCAACAGATGATGTCTTTGGTCTCCAGGTATGATTTTTTCAACACTTGCACTTATGCTAATACTTACATTGATCAATAAATCTCACCAACTACCCTGTTTTGCAGATATGTCGGCACAAAGATGCTCAACCTCGGGTATGGGAATATGTAGCACCATTGAGAGGGTAGTCTTTATGACCTGGGAATTGTCTCCAGAGAAATTTTTTATGGCATAAAAATTTGTAACTAATGTGGGCAAACTTATACTTGAATCTTAGGTTCAACCCCAAACGCTCTCCATTAGTGGTTTCAAACAAAGCTGATTAACCCTTAATATAAACATATGCTCAAATGACAATGCCCTTTCTAACGCAGATAGCTATACCCATTTACCTTTAGTAAGTATCCATCCAAGACTCTAATCAGTCGAGTTCGTTTGTCAAGGGTGTCATCATATTATCTATCCATCCAAGACTCTAATCAGCCGAGTTCGTTTGTCAAGGGTGTCATCATATTATCTTAGCAATTTCCCCTAGCTCTTTTGCATGGCCTCTTATGCGCCCCTTTTAAGGGGTCCATTATCTTCTTGAACTTCTTGTGCTTCAAATGACTGGATACAAATACAGGTTCAGCAGTTTGGCCTGGGGGGGTCATGAAATTACTTTTTGGTAGTTTGATAACTGAGCAATAAACAAAGACTTCGAATATGACCCAACTCTATGTATGACTAAATAATTTGAGTTGATGCATCCTTATTATTGAATTTGCATGGAGCGTTTACACCTAATTGGCCCCTTACTAATTCATTTTACAATGACTTGATGGAACTTTGAGTATCATATTGCATCTAAATATTAGTGAGCGCCATTTCACATATTACATGAACTTCTATCAGATACTGTGTTGAAATTATTATTAGCAGCATCAACTTACTTGAGAGCTACCTAACAATGACAAGCATGTCATGTATGTCCAACTGAATCTCACAAACCACGCACCAAACATGTTGATATTCTAGACATGCAGGCAGACATGGAAATCTGCACCAACATGTGTCTGGAAATTTTCATTTTTTGGATTCTCAAACACAGCGTGTTTGCTCTGTGGACACATGAGTCCACAGATTGGAAAGCAAGACATGCATGCTATGTGTCATCATGTGTGCTGATATGCCAATGGAGATTGAGATGCATTGGCTAACTCTGGGATCAATTGCGATGTGCTTCTTGTTACTAGGGGCCAAACATATCGTTGAGATGCCATCTTGGCATCATCGTGATGGTGGTCTTGTTTTGTACTTTAAATCTTTCTCAAAATGGTTACTCAAAAAAGAAAAAAAGTAAGCTATATATTCTCTCTTCATCAGGGAACATCTTTGTGGAAAAACTGGCACTTACCCTGATATTTATTAATGTATATCTATTCGTTATCATGATGCCTTACCATTGCATAATCATTAATATATGTGATCACATTGTTGCCTTTTCAAAGAACCTGACATAAAATTATATTGGCAGATCATGATTACCTTTTCTTTTAGAATTCCACATTCAAAGTTTGTATGTGTAGTTGTAGTATTGTGGTATCGTGTAGTTGTAGGATTATGGTATTTCGTCTTTTTTTTTTTTTTGAGTGACAAAATTAGGATTCTCTCTCTCTTGATTTCAGAGCATTTGTAGTAAATCTTGGTGACATGCTTGAGCGCTGGAGCAATTGCATCTTCAGGTATATCTCACAAAATTTCTCTGATGTTGTCTCTGAAATTCAAAATTTTGAACAAATCAAAACACCTAGAATCTCTAAGCAAGTTGAAGTAAATGATAATCTAGTGAAAAAATGTTAAATTATACAATAATATGGCTCCTGGTTTACTTGGAAATTCTCACACTGTGATAATCAGACATAGCCCTTAAATGGCCAGGACAAGCTCATTAACATGTAAAGATTTTGCATTGACTTTAATTTGTGTTTCCTTGGAGCATTTCCTTAGAACACAGGTGAATTATAGAGAAACAAGGATACTTATGAATCTGGAATTTAGATACGCCTAAACTGGATATCTGATAAGTGAAGGTTTGATCAATTCCTCAACACTATAAAAGGAATCTCTTGCTCCTTATTCATATGTGCACAATTTGAAGCCTATCTTCGAGTTCATTATTATGTTTTTATATGCACAAGGTAAAGAAACTCAGGAGTACTTTTTAGGTAAAAAGACTGAGGAGTACTTGATAACCTTAGAAGGCCCTTTAGAACCGGAGTTTGATTCTAGGACCTTTGTGCTGTCCATTGTGCTGTTTTTACAGGTCCACATTGCATCGAGTGGTATCAAATGGTCAAGAGCGCTACTCCGTAAGATCTCATCCCATTGTTCTAATTTCTTGCTTTGCAAGCTTTTAAGGAGAAATGAAGACTTTAGAAGTGGTCATTGTATTTATTTTGTTAGCATATGAAGCACACCAATGTTTTGTTCAAATCATGTCTTCTTTGTCATATTGAATATGATCATTCTTTCTCAGGCACAACTTCAGAATTCCTTGTTACATGGGAAACTCACATGGCTTAAGATGCCTAGGGTATCAAATCTCCCAATTTTGGGGCTTGTTGGCTGTTAAATGGCATAGAAATCACTACTTATCGAGCGATATGCATCGCAATGACTAGAGAAAACATAGCTTTCTAAAGGCAAATTTGGACTGACCACTTGTTCTCGAGTTAGTGGCCTTCTTGATTACTTCTATCAAGACAAAACAGGTGTTCTTTTAGTATTTAGTAGCAATAGGCATTTTGCAGTGTTTCCCAAATAAATGGGTTTAAGAAATGAGGATTACTTACAAGCAGTGTTCAGTGAGTACTATATTAGAAAAGCGATTGTATACAATGAGACCATTTATCTTTGGTACAAGAAGATCACGATTACTTGTACCCATCTGATGTGAAATTTGCTAGCTTGAATGTGTTACAAAATTCGAAAAAAATTCTTTTGAACTTTGAGCTTGGTCAATGCAATACATGCAGCCATCCAATTTCACATCCAATGGTCAAGATTAAATACGACCAACTTGTACTAAAGATAAATGGTCTCGTATATTATTCCATCAAACTGGGCCTAAGCAAATAGGAAAAATATGAAACTGGGATCACAAAATAACTTTTTCCATGCCAAGGATTTAACCCTAAAAGCAAGCTGTAAGTCTTAAGATTTGGTTCTCTCTCTCTCTCTCTCTCTCTCTCTCTCTCTCATGTGTGCACCATATTTATACTTCAACTATGAATCATTTGGTCTTGCAGATAGCGCTCTTTGTGGGGCCAAGTCACAACTGTCTTGTCGAGTGTTTGTCTACATGCAAATCTGATTCTAACCCTCCCAAGTAAGTTGGAGACTTGCATGTACATGTGAATGGGATATTGCAATATTCTCAATCCTCTAATAAAAAATTAAGAGAAAAAGATTCTCAGCCTTTCCTCTAATAAAAAATTAAAAGAAAAGATTCTCAGCCTTTCTGTCTAAATCATTTTGTGTATTAACAATGTTTTGGGCATTTCAATAGATATATATGTCTCTGCATCATTTGTCACTGTGACTCTCATTGAATTTACTTTACATTGATTTATCCAGGTATCCTCCTGTGAAGTGTGAAACATACCTGCGTCAGCGATACATGGATACGCATGCCGACTTGAGTTTGTACAATCACAAGACTGGCTAAACGACTGTTCTCATGATTTGCATTGTTTGTCTGCTTCTGTAACTATTGTGGAATATGGCATAATACATTATTCAAACTAATATAAGGGATATTTATGGACATTCCCCCCTTATTGTATATAAGCACCATTTATAACCCCCAAAACATGTTGCAAGAATTCAATTAAAAAACTAGACTTGGTCAAACATACAAGCAATGCTCATCTAGTACTATAGTATAACTCCAATTTTATTCATAGCATGCAAGATACGGTCCATTAGTGTCAAGACAGAGTTAGATCTGTTAACCTTCACTCTGATGCATAATGAACCTAACCTTTATTTTTTAATAGGCTTAGGCACTATTTGGATGAATAATTTAGTGAGGAACAACTCTTCTTTGTCAGCCAGGATTGTATGCAATAAGACTATTTACCTTTGATATAAGGAGGTCACAATTACTCATAACCATTCCATGTGAAATTTGATAGTTTGGATGTGCCACAAATTTTGAGAAAATTTCTTTTGAAGTTTGCGCTTTGTCAATTGAATAAATACAGCCATCCAATTTGATATCCAATGGTCAAGATTTATTATGACTACCTTGTACTAAAGTTAAATGGTTTCATTGTATACTTGTCCTTGTTTGCCACCCACTTGGAGTGAAGAAATGGTGCAGTTGAGTCCGTTCCACTCATCGTGGGTGAGCCCCTTCTGCAGTCGTGCTTATTAAGAGAATGCTACCAAAATTGATCCAACTCTAAAAGAAGAAAAAAAAAAAAAAAAGAAGTTGATTTTCATCTATTTCCAAACAAGCCTCTTTCTTAATGGAGTTGTTTGGCTGTGGAAACTAGACCTTAGGGTGCCGGTATTTTAGGGGTCCTTTGGTTCGTGGGGAAGTTCTTTCCAAGAAAGAACTTACACAGCAACCCCCATTTTTTCATGTTTGGTTCATGAGAATCTGGTTCCACCAATGTAAAATGCGCTCCCATGAAGTGGGAGAGTGCATGCATGCCTAAGGGTGCATGTACCTACTTTCCCACGGGTGGAATGTTCGACGTGTGAAAACTATCTTTAGTAGAAAACTTTCACATGAATTAAGCGATCTGAAAACATAGGTCTTTGCAAAGTCATAGGACCATGTAAGAGGGCTAATACAGGCCTTGTACTGGAAGTTCAGGGATGTTGGTGACTTGATGATAGGGGAGCTTGTGAATAGTACTCATAACTATAATGGTCTTAAGATAGCAAAAAATTCTTTCTTGTATAAGTTTTGATGCGCACAAAAGGCATAACAATATGGGCACTCTCTCAAAGAGGCTCTGTAAAATAGACATGTCTATGATGATGTGTATTGACTACACTAGACAAAAAGACTTGTAAAATAGACATGTCTATGATGATGTGGACTGCCTACACTAGACAAAAAGACCTTATAAAGCTTTATTGTTCTCTGGATCGGCCTGGGACGTTAACTACACAACTTAGGAGGAGAATGAATAAGGCCTCCTTCTAAGGAGTGGGACGTTAACTACACGACTTAGGTGGAGAATGAATAACGCCTCTTTCTAAGAGGTTCAACCATCGGTAATATACCACTTTGTAAGAGCTAGAATCCTAACCTATATAATTCCCTAATGAGTTACAAAGGATAATTTTAATGTAACATATGATGATGGTCCCAAATATTGGGCCGGGATATTTTTATAATTCAACATTGTCCCCAATAATGCATAACAACATTCGAAGCTAAGTCTGCCCCAAACATAGCTACCCTTAGCCTCTAGGTTTACGTTTGTAATTGCCCAACTATATTTACCCAATTTTTACTTTTGTAATTGCCCAACCATATTTACCCAATTTAAATATGATTTATTGTAGAATAATGGCCTTTTTTTTGTCAAAATTTCCAGTGAAGCATACTTTTCCTAAAACCAAAAAAGCAAAGAAATTATTTGCCTATAAAAATTTTCCAAACTCGATTCATGTTTGCAGCAAAACAAGGGACACACCTGCAGCACAAGGGAATTTGTGAATATATGACCCTTCTTTAAAGTTTTGAGTGTATTGTTATGGATTAAGCTTGCAAATGAATCTGAATCCATTTCCTAATCCTTTTATTATTAGGTATCTCATTTCCAAGGAAATAAGTCAAGAAAATAAAAATAAAAGTCAAAAGAACACATAAACACTATCTGTCAAAAAAAAAAAAAAACACTAACACTATAAAACTATTGATTTGCTAAAAACCAAGGGAATAAACCCATGAAAATATACTAGGAAACGCTTGTGATGAAACTAGCATTCACTTAAGCACCTAATGCAAAACGTTGCTAGGCACCATTTGGATGGACCATTTATTAACATGTAAGTCCATTTACTCCCCGTTGCATTTAAGAATGCAGAAGTAAATTATTTCCTCCGTGCCTCATCCAAGGGAGTCATCTTTTCTATGCCCCTCTCTCCATTCGTTCATTCGTCCGAAAACGGGTTGGACAAGTTCACCAAAAAACTATTAGAGCGTAATCATAGAATTTAGAATCCTTTAGAAGCTTTGAACTCCAAAAAATTAAAAACCCTACAGAAGATTGCCGCACAGTTAGAACACAGCTCCTAGACCTGGTTGACATTGGGGTTGAAATTTTTTAAAATGTAAGGGGCATCCCAGCTTTAAAGTAACCATCTAGGTCTAGGCTGAGTAAGAACTTTCAGCAATCATTGGCTACTCAGCTGAATCCACTCAAACTCGGCCGAGTTAAAAAACATTAAATAAGTGTGGCTGTGAAGATTGTCCAAGCAATTTTACAAGCAGTGAAACACTAGCTACAAATGGAAAATGTGAGTAGTTCTTGGCAAGGTCAAGGAATCCATTTGGTGGGGATAATAGATGGTTTATCATAGACAAGGAGGTCTTTTATCTCTGTTTTGACAAGAGAAGATGTTTCCTTGACAACCCATATGAGGTCTCCAAGGCCACTTGAGTGACATAACCATGTGCTGAGGATCTTGTATACATGTAGCAGAGAGACAATACATCACCAATATAAATCTTATTTTTTATTCAAAACCCCTTTGCTAATTTAGAAAAAAAGAAGATAGCCCATCGAATGGAACTCGAGGGTCGTATGCCCCCACGCGTGAAACAAGCATCCTATTTCATCCATTTTTCATTCAAAATTCAAGTTTTAGAGAAGGGCGTGGTTTTTATAGAGCTGAGGCTCTAAACAATCAAATTAGAGCCTATCTTCATATAGTGTTCGAGAAATATGGTTTCAATACTGAAAATTTTTGTAATAGCCTTAAAAAAAAAAATTGTAATAGCCTTAAAATATACTTTCAGCTTTAATTATAAATTTAAAGCTTCAAAAATAGTGTAGATCAAGCAAATCTATGAAAACTTGAAAATCTGGAAAATTGACGGTCAAAAACTGTGTTATAAGATGTACTATTTCCGAAACTTGAAATCCATTTTTTTCTCATGTCCATGCATCTTGATGTTGAGATGATCAATTTGATGATATTTGAGCATCTAAACAACCTCTTTTAATGAAAATTTTTAGATAGGTTCTAATTTGATCGTTTAGAGCCTAGGCTCTATATAAACTTTTCCTTTTAGAGAAATATAGTGTTGCAGGGTTTATATCCTTAAGTCTCAAAATGAACCTTTTTGGAAATTTTGAAAACCTGATTCTTCTTGATTGAAAAAGATTGAGAAACCTGATTCTTCTTGATTAAAAAAGATTGAGAAACACTTTTTCCTGTTTTGTTTTACTAGAAACCTAGATTCTATAAAACAAGATAAAGAAGGGAATTCCAGACATGCGTTCGAAGGGTGGGGTAGGCGACACATTCGCCGCCTCTCCAATTGGAACCCTTGAGCTTCCTCACCCAATTTGATATGTCTACTACTAAGCCGAGAGCTAAAGTCTGTTACCCTATCATCCCATGCAGAAATGCTCGTCTCATGTTTTGGCTAAATCATCATAATATTTATTGGCAATAGCAAATTAGAGAGAACAGAATCACTTCCGGTTCCGATGGACTCTAAAACAGAATGAACCCACTACATCCCTGTATCCAATCCAATATGGCAATTCTCAATCTGAATTGACAAATCTTTAACCTTAATAGCTTTTGAAGAAGCCGTAAGAGCGTCTTGAACTAAATGAGGAATACCCATACTCATTCGTTTCATATTTATGTTATTGAAGTTAGGCATCTACCTAACGCCAAAGGACCCCATTTCTTTAGGCCAAACCCCGCATATGTAGAAATAAATGCCTCTTAATAAATCTATTTTTGAAATAGTTTTAATATTTAATTTTTAAAGACATGTAATCGTTAATCATGAATATTAATAAATAAATACCTTTTAAAAATTAAAAATAATAATTTTAATAAAAAACAATTGGACCAATAGTTTCGGTTGTTTTTAAATGGAACACCTACTTGAATCCATCTTTAAAATGGATGCTTTATGCTTCTTGGACAGCATATATAGAAATGCGGTCCAACCCGCATGAAACAATTTTCCAACACCACAAAGTTAAATATCCACATCTTCATAAGCGAAGCCGGTGGAGAGAGACATTTCAATGTGTGATATACTTTGAACATATGTGCATTGAGATCAAACAGGTTAAATACCACCTCCTTAATGAATCAATAGAGAAGAAGAAACAAGCATATACTGGAGTTTTCATCACCACCACCCATAAATATTACATATAAAAACTACATGAACTCAAAATTGAATAAAGTTAAAAAAAATAAAATTAAAAATAAAAAAGAACCAAAACAAAGGCAAAACAAACAAAGCATTACCGTTCTTGACGTTGCCTATCCTAAAGAAAATAAAATAACAAAAAGACAAGAAAAAAGGGTGCAAAACTGATTTGTTTGATTTATCTGAAGCTTCGGTACACAGGGCTGTACATACAGCTCTCTGCATAGGCCACCAGATTTTCAGGTCGAGGAAGGCGAGTGGCCAATCCTGAAAAAACCAAGAACAAAGTAAGAAACGAAAAAAACCTAGAATCTAAGTTCAAATTGATGGAAAAAAGATAACATATAAACTACGATGTTATAGGAATATTGGAAGAGAAAGGAACTCAAGTAGAGTGTAGAATAGGTAGTGAGACTTACCGAGCTCATATGCTTTGGTGGCAACATTTGCGGCAATGTGGGCCGATATCTTGCGGATGTTTGAAAATGGAGGATATAGCAGCCCCATGTCATAGTTCTCCTGAGTAACCTGCTTTGCCAGTGCTTCCGCTGTTTGAAGAGAGAGTAAAGAGTCAGCCCCTAAACAATTGTCGATGGCAAAAGGAGAGAGAGGAACAGGCTCAAGGCATAGGTTGTCAAGGCACCGGGGCGCACAATGTGACATCTAGAATTCTATTGCTACTAGGTCTCGAGTCTACATTCAAAAAGAAGAAGAGAGAGTAATTTCAGAGGCTTACAGGCAGCGAGGAGCATATCATCATGAACGCGGATGGCACCAGAGATGATCAGCCCAAGGCCCAAACCTGGGAAGATATATGCATTGTTTGCCTGCAATTTTATACCACAGAAAATACACAATCAGCCATACTTCAATATACATAATATCAAACCATGTCCTTGCAGTAATGGTACAAAGCGAACTAAAGCATGAACTAAAAAAGGCAAACAACTGAAATATGATATAAACAATGAACCGTTTTTCAAAAAACTTGGAAATGGTGAAGTGTTTTTCACAGTAGTTTACCTGGCCAGAGTAATAAGTCTTCCCATTGTATTCGATAGGATCAAATGGGCTGCCACTGGCAAATATGGCACGGCCCTGTAGGGAGAAAAAGTGTCAAAATTTATCAACTCAGAGAGAGAAAGAGCATCATTGTCTTTTGACAAAGAGAATTGTACCACTAACTCATAATAAATTATAATGCTATATAAGAGTACCTGACTCCACTTATATGCCTCTTCAGCAGTACACTCAGACTGTGAGGTTGGATTCGAGAGGGCAAGAATAACAGGTTTCTGCGAGTCATTTTCTCCAAAGCTCAGTTTCACTTTCAGAGCATTTTCTCATACAAAACATTGAGGGGAAAAAGGAAGAAAGAAAAGAATAAATACCTCATTGAAAGAGGCCATGGCCTCAATCACTTCTTTTGTGAAAGTCTTTCCGGCCCCAGAGGATCCTATTAATATGGTCGGCTTGATTGACTGAACCAGGGAAAAATAGAAGCAAATATAAGAAACCAAACTCAATTATCTTTTCTTTTTTTGCAATAATGAGCCCAACTTTACGTTTCTATTTCGTTCTCTCTTTATAGGATCCATCAACATAAAATTGTAAAATGTTTAAAATTTGGAAAAAAAATAAGGCAGCTCAAACCTTGACTGCCTCTAGGAGACTGTTGATGGGCTCATGCTCGTGAGCCCATGGCTTCTTGAAGTGTTGGAGTGACTCCTTACGAGAACTAACAATCAATCCCTTTGAGTCCACAAGCCAGATCCTCTTCCGGGCCTCTTCAACTGGGATTTTTGTCTGTTTTGACATCTCAAGAGCTATCAGCTCCGCAATTCCAGTACCAGCCTCTCCAGCACCAAGGAACAGGAAAGTGTGCTCAGCCAAAGTTCCACCAATCAACTTCAATGCAGCAACAAGTCCTGCTAGGACCACCGATGCTGTGCCCTGAAGAAAGAAAAGCCAAAGATGCACCACGGTAAGCTGAAAATCCTTTACCTACATACATTGACAATACGAGACCGAAAGGTCATCCGATATACCTGGATATCATCATTGAATACCAGATGGGTTGTGCCATACTTTGCCAATAGATCGAACGCATTGTGGTTAGCAAAATCTTCAAACTGTAAGATGCAGGGGAATCAAAAGTTAGAGCATCATAAACTAAGGCGCAACAGTCTAATAACCACACATATGGTTAATGATTTCTGAGCTTCAAGCATATTTTCAAAGTTGATTTGGGCATCCTAGGGAAACACATCCAAAAGATGTTAGTCCTAGTTAGAGCTAGCTATAGCGCGTACTCTCTTTTTTAATGAACCTCTTTTTTAATGAACTGACAATGGTGGCCCAGAGGTTAGACGCTAATCACATCAAAACACTATTATTCAATTAAATAAGAACCATATTGCAATACAATGAATAAAAGAATACAATGGAACTAATTGAAGCACCCCAATAGGGGTGGCAACGGGTTGGGTTGGGTCGGGTCAGATCGGGACCCAGACCTGGACCCGATTTCACTGGACTCGGCCCGGACCGCAAAATATAATGTGGGACCTGGACCCGATTGGACCCGACCCAAAAACTAAAATATCTATGCATTCAGCTACATTTAAATATATTTCATTTATTGGGACCCAAAAAATATTACTGGACCCGGACCCAAATAGAGTTCAGCTCCAAGATTTGGACCCAAACCCGACCCACCGGGACCAATTTTTGGACCCATACCTAGATCCGGATCGGTCTACCACTCAGGTCCCGGGTCGGGTTTAGGACCGGATCCATTGCCACCCCTACACCCCAGTCAATCTAAATACTACCATTCCATGTTCACTATTTTTTGATATTTCAGCCAGTTTTGCTCATAAACTCCCTTCATGCCCAACAAAACCATTATTCATTGACTTTGTACCTTCTACTTGACATTGTTTTTTTCACAAATAACGGGGTTCATATCTTTACTTTCTAACATATGACCCAAATGATGGAATTTCTCACTACATTGCCATTTGTTTTTTTTTCTAGTGTAGACTAATAATGATTTAAAATTTGTTTTCAGTATATACTTTTGCTATTATATATTTAATTCTCCCTTTGTTTCATGTGTCTGCATGCAACTCACGTGCGAGAAACTAGTTTGATCGAGACTTGAAACTACAATTCACAAATGAATAATGAGAACCGGGGTTCAAATGTCGTGCATAACAACACAGAGCTTCCCATCACTTAGCCAAAGCAAATAAAAGAAATTCTTTGGGAGAACAACTGACCTGTACGAGCACTTTCTCGCCATAGTTTTGCTTAACAGCACACATGAACTCGTGCAAGAGATCCCTATATTCCTGAAATCCAGGGAACAACAACCCATGTTTAGAAGCGCATGGAAAGGTACAAAAAGTGCTATTATAAACTAATTTGCAAACAAGAGTACGAAGAAAACCTGGCCAGTTGCTCTCTTCTGTCTCAGCCCAATATAGAACTCATCCTTCAACAATGTCTCGTTGTTTGTTCCCACATCAATTGTGACAGGCAAGCACTAAAATCAGCAATTACAAACCTTCAGAATTGCATATACAAAAATAGAAAAAACCCCAAATATATGTTATTTGAATATACATTATGTTCTTTTCACTAGGTTCTTTCTAAAATGTAGACATTCATCTCCATTGGGGAAGCAGGAGTATTTTTTATTTTTTAATAGACTCAGGACAATTTCACAACAAATGCCATACTGAATCTTGATCAAAGTAATACTTACAGCAGATGGGCGAATTCCTCCAAGTGCAGAGTACAATGCAAGTTTTCCAACAGGAATTCCCATACCCTGTAAACAATTCAAATATTGCAAATCATAAGGTCATATACATCAAAGAAGGATAACAGAATGAAGAAATGAGAAAACAAGAACCCCACAAACTTGTTATGGAATTGGAAAGCAAATTCGACAGTAATAAATTTACAGTGTGCAGCTCTGAAGGAACACAAAAGTGGAGCTCACAGTCTTACCTGACATCCGAGATCTCCAAGGCCCAAAATACGCTCTCCATCAGTTACAACAATGACCTGAATACTTTTCTCAGGCCAGTTCTTCAAAACCTCAAGAATTTTGCCCCTGCAAAAAGGTCATTCTTCTTTATTGGGTTCATGCAAATAGCAAACTAAATTAATTGCGTAGTGAAAATAAGATGGAATATGTGTTCGGTCAAATGCACATACTTCTCTTTCAGACTGATATAGAGACCCTGTGGCCGCCTGAATATGCTCCCATATTTCTGACAGGCCTCACCAACAGTAGGTGTGTACACAACTGGCAGTAGTTCCTCCACATTATCAATGAGAAGCTTGTAGAATAGCCTTTCATTCCTTTCCTGTTTACCAAAGTATGAATTAAAACCCCGACATCAGAAAAAAGAGAAAGAACAAGAGAGAGAGAGAGATTATTGTTAGGTGTTAATACCTGAAGATCCATCATCGCCATGTACTTTTGCAAAGGAACTTGATATTGGCGGAGGTTTTGCATGAGTTTCCTTTCCTGAAAGGCAAAACTCAAACAAAGATAATGAATAGCCATGAGATTGACAATGGGGGCTTTGTTGCGAATTCTTGCTACTAATGGTGGAATGGGGTTTGGTAATATACCTGAAGCTCTTGAGTGACACAAGTTGGTGGGAGAAGACCTCGCAAGTAGTGGGCATCCCTCTCTTTCTCCGAGAATGCAAGCCCCTTGTTGTAGTGTGGGTCTCTCAACAATGAATAGCCGCTGGAATAAGAAGAAAAATAAAATGCTCAATAAAACATGGATTCTCCTGTTGTAGAAGCCATTCAAGCCAATATGCCACAATATGAACATCAAAAGCTATGGATTTTGGAAAGCTATGGATTAGCTATGGTAAGCTATGGATTTTGGAAATGCAATGGAATGTTGTTCATTACAGCCAAAATCAGAGAAGGCTTAATTATTTAAGCAAGAAAACAAGAAAAAGTCAGATGCTCTAAATAGACAAAGAAACTTGTACCCAGTTTCACATATTTAGAAAAAAGAAATGAAGCAAAAACTATATCAAAATTGCGCCATGTTGTCCAGAGAAGATACCAGCATTACCTCAGCTCCAAATACAGGAAAAATGAGGGAAAAGAAATCAATGAAGAAATATAATTCTCAGAACTAATCATCAACAGACGAATGTTTTCCTAAATACTTAGATATCACAACAAAAAAAAAGGAAGACTTTCATCGAACGCTATAAAAATATATGATACAAAAGCAAAATAAAAAAATTATGAAACTCAGTGAATTTCTGGAATTCATCTCATCAAGCACAAGGGTTGCAACTTGCAACAACTAACCCCCAAAAAGAACACTCCGATTAACTCACATTAAATTTCATCAGATGGGGCATCATAAAGCTATGGAAGACCTCTTAGAGCTGAAAATTTGAAGGACTAAGACAGCTGAACAGGAGCTGCCTTCCTCAAGTGATTTAGATTGTTAACCAGCGCTTCCTCCCAATCATTTGTAATATTAGAAGTAAAAGAGAAATAGATCCACTTAGACCCAGAAAAGGGAATTCCAAACAAAACCTACCCACAAATGATTAACAAAAGACTCAATAAATACTGATTTTTCAAACAAGTCCAATATATTAAAGGCCCCAAAAAAAAAATGCCATATGAAGGCATGAAGACCTATTTTAAAGTAATTGCAAATTAGTTTTATCAGTAGAGTAACTCTAAAATAGAACAAGAAAATATTTATTTGATTGTGATATGTCAGCGATGAAACTGAGAGCAAAGGGTGAATAGGGTAAAAGGTTGTAAAAAATAAAACTCAATTATGTGGAATCCCTGAGTGAAAAGTAAAATTTTTTTTTTTTGAATTCGAGGAAAGTAAAATAATTTTATCAGGTCAGAGACATAGACTACAAAAGCAGAGAAGGAAAAAACCAGTAAACCCCTATGAATCAGAACAATTTCCTCCATGAACTGATTTTTCGCTAGCATATCCATGAATAACATATTCTTTAAAACTTTAACCAAAAAAAAAGATTTTTTTCTTTAAAAAAATAGTAAGTAAACAAAAGCCAAAACAGTACATTAAATTTTCAGATCAGAAAAGCAAAACAAATTGCAGTAAAAATTTAAAAAAAAAAGAAGAGAAATGACTCGAGTAAAAATATAAGTTAAACCATATATCACCTTGAGAAGAGACAAAAAAAGGCATATCTCCTACAAAAAATTAGAAAATAAGTAAAATAAAATCCAGTCAAAGAAGGCAATTGGACAAATTATTTCAGATCTCTCTCATTTTCTCTTTTGAAGTAAGCATATGCATGCCAAAACCCGAGGAAAAGGGGAATCTACAAAGAACAACCCATAACCACGTGCACACAGCAGAAAACTACAGAAAATAGAGAGAGAGAATAGCTTAAAATATATAATCAGTCAAGCAAAATATATCAATACAAAGCACACACTAGCACCAAGCATAAACAAAATGAAGAGCCTAAACAAGCTATATTAACGCAAAAGAAACGAAAAAAAAAATCTCTAAGAACAAACTGAAAAGCAAAAACAAAAAATCGAAGAATAAATCAAAAAGGGGCAAAACAAGGCCTGAACTGGCTATATCAGAACAATAAATTCAAAAAGGAAAAAGAGAATAAAAAACCCTGAAGTTTTATTTAATAAGCAGGAAAAGAGAAGAAATGACGTCTTTTTTTTTCAAGCTAAAATTAGAAAGGAACTGAATTTCACCTAAAAATAACCAAATCATCCTGAAACCCTCACAGATCGCAGAAAAGAACATCAATTGGGTCGTAATAAAATCAAGATCACTGACATTCACCCCAAAAAAAACGAAGATCCCTGATTGATAAGCAAAATACAAGAGAAAAAAGGGAGGATAATGATTTATAGCAGTCCAGCAAAAGTTGCATATAATAGCACGTAAAATCAACAGAAAATCACTGACACGATCAAAGCAAAATAAACACACAAAAAATAGTTCCAACAGAGAAAGATAGATAGATAAAGAGAGATAGATTGCAATTCAAATTAAACCATAAAACCACCAAATTTTCCTAATCAACAAAGACGATTTTTTAAAATGAAAAAAAATAAAAAAAATCCGTGACAAATTGCAGGCTCATTCAAATAAAAAAAAACAAATATTAAATTTTTAAAAGAAACAGGCGTAGAAAGCCAAACCTCTACGCAACAACCCCAAAAAATATTAAAAAAAAGACAGCAACGAAGACTCACAAAACGAAAAGTCGAAAACAAAGAGAAAGAAGAAAGCATAAACGAAGGAAAAGGAAAAGAAACAAAGTAAAAGAATAAAAAAAAAAAAAAGGAATTCTCACCTCGCAACTGTGACCGTCCATGGAGTCACGAGCTGGTCCTCCGTAGCCTGATCCTCACCGTACATATCCTCGACTCCACCTCCAACCGTCGATTTCGCATCCATATCAAGCACAGAGGGCCCATCACCTCTCATCTCTTTCAAAGTACTCTCCATTTTCGAAGAAGAAGAGGTCTCCTTTACCTCGACCGAATACGACGATCTACAGAAAACACGAACGCCGGGAAACAAACCAGTGGCCGGAACCTGGCCAGAAAACGTCGAGCTAAGGGCCAATCTCTTGCCGGAAAAGCTACAATGACCAGGCTTAAACAACAACCACAAGAGCCTTAGCATGTGAGCAGGAGGAAGCAGATATTTATAGGGAAAAACACATTATTGAGAGGCGACTATGACCAAAATCAAAGACGAAAACTTGTGAAAATGCAGAAAAAAACAAACTGAAAACAAAAAAAAGAAGATAAAAATCTCAAAAAATTAAAAAAAAAAAAATCAGAAACACGCAATTATTAAGAGAATAAAAATATCAAATGAAAATTACCAGAAAAATTTGGGTGGGGTTCAGAGTGGCCATTGCTGGAAAGTATGCTTTTTTCTATTTTTCTATTTTTTTCTGGTTTCTTTTTTCTTTTTTTATTTTTTGGCGTCACTGCCCCTGGAATTGTTTTTCCGACAAGGCGCCAGGGAGGGGCAAAATGGTAACTTTGAGGAGCTGTGACCACGAATAGGAGCGCGAGAATGGGTCGCAAATATATAGCAGCCGCAAGTTCGGGGCAGGCGTGCGTTCCGATGAGACCAATTCGGCACGTGCCAATAGTCTTTCACGTGGCCTCCACACCCACGTAAATAGCTTTTGTTTACTATCTCTTTTAAACGGTTCTGATTAAGACTTAGCACGTGTGATGAGATGATTTTCTACTGTTGCTTTTTAAGGGTTGAGATTTTGTACAAAGTGCCATAAGTAAAGATCGTTTTTTGGTGATAAGAACCAGGGTTATTTTTGTCATTATATTTTAATTTTTAGGTGTGCGATGGCAGGAACTAAATTTTATAAATATATAATTTGTAAAAAAAATTAAAAGTAAAATATTCTGAGATGTCAGATCTAGATCCAGATCAAACGATGGGTAGCTCACTTGATCTAAATTAGATCGCTAGATGAGAAAGAATCATATATCTTATATACTGTTGGGGAAATATATAAACATTGTTTTTATCTTTAGTTTTAAAATTTTAAAAATAGTATAAATTAAGCATATATATAAATATTTAAAACTTTTGAAAATAGATAGTCCAAATAACTTATTACAATACGCTCTATTTTTTTAATTTAAAATTATTTTTTATTTTCATACCTCTTCTCCCGATGTCGAGATCATTAATTGAAGGGTTCTCCAAAATTGGAACTCTCTCTTCTAGACCATTTTTGAGGTACACTTTATTTTTGAGGTGCACCTTACTTCAATAGTACTCGAGGTCGACATGATCAATTGAAGGGTTCTCCAAAATTGAAGGTTTCTATTCTAAAAGATTTTTTAGTACTAGGTTACAACCATATATTAACTTTTTCAGTTATCTAAAATGGCATGAGGGAATAATCATTTAACATTTTTCATATTTTTTTATTTAATTCAAGACACCCCATAAGAAACTTGAATCATGACTTGACATAGTTACAATTCAGTAATTCATTAAATAATTCATCTCTCATGGGTACTTTAATATATCTTTCTTTGTATACTTTAATTTTAAGTTTTAACTCAAATATAGCAGGTCCTTGTATGCTTAAGTAATGAACTATTTAACATTCTACTTATTTGTTTTTTCGTTTTAATTTAAAAAATCCCAACAATGGACACATTATGAGAATAAGCAAAATTGCTAAATTGTAGATAAGTTAGATGTATTTTTTTTACAAATATATTTAATTTTTACATATACCTAATCGTTTGTGGCATAAAAAGTGGATAAATGTGTGGCTTTTTATCATGGAAAAAAAGAAAAAGAAAAAAGAAGTGAAGTGATTTTATCTTCATAATGGAAGCACCTCCATTAAATGATAGAAATCTAAGTAACCCTTGTATATCATGTAGAATGGAACTCCGAGGAAACTTCTATTGAAGAATGGAACTTTACTGAATCGTGTGGTAATTTCTATTGCAGTTGAGAGAGGAAACCATGGAATTTAATGATACAGCCGAATGAAAACATGTATCGACTATGTGTGTATGCCAATGATTTAAAAAACGGATCGGTGACCCGATCGGGCATTTTAAAAACCGATTTGGATCAACGATTCGACGATCCGGATCGGAAATCGGCTGAATAGGTCGGATTAAAGCTTCAAAAAATTCCGAAAATTTTATTAAAATTCATTATAAATGTTGTGTTTTAGGAATCTAATAAGAAATGAGGGTACTACATTATTAACTTTCAGTTTTTTCATCAATTTATGAATATTGAGATGCTCTTTCCTTGTATAAACTTAAGTATTAAATTTGCATCACATAAAAAAAAATCATAGCATTATCATGCATAAAATATATAATTATACATGGACTATAATAAATAACAGACTAAATCAAGGAAAGAATGGCCATTAAAATCTCGTTTTGGCCGAAAACCCTAATCCACAAAAAAAACCCAAATTATTACAACCTAACTAACTATAATCCAAAATTATTACAACCTAACTAATTATAATATTATATACTGAAATTATAATTATTAGTTTACATTTTATAATTATTTTATTAGATAAATAATAACAAATTAAAAATATTTTATAATATTATCTAATTTAAAATGTATTATTGATAACTGTAAGAAAAATAGTACATTACATGATTTATAATGTAAAAATTAATAAATACAATAAAAGATTTCGTTATCTATGTAAAAATTAATAAAATGGGAACAAAAATTAGCTCAAGAAGGGATAACTATTATATGGCCCACGAGGGGATTCGAACTCGAGATGTCAAAACAAATAACATTAGTGATAACCATCATGGCTCCTTTACATATATATTTAAAATTACCTATTAATAGCATATATTTACATTATGTTTTCATTTAATGATGTTTGGGAATTACGCCACATCAAAGGATAAGTATTCAAATATGATATATAAATAACTATGTAATTGGAAGATTAATGCAACTGTGAAAGCACTAGGGCATCAGTGCACTTGCACACGTGCATGTGCGTGTCTCACGTGTGGCGCATGTGGTCTGCATCGCATATGTTTTTACGTGTATGTGTGTGTCGCACGTGTGTCACATGTGGGAGTGGTGCGTGTTGCAAGTGTGTCACATGTGGGAGAGGTGTATATGTACGTGTCGTACGTGTGTCACATGTGGGAGTGGTGTGTCACAGGTGGGAGTGGTGTGTATCTACGTGTGTCACATGTGGGAGTGGTGTGTGTCGCAAGTGTGACGTATATACACGTACACACGTGTGGGAGTGGTGCGTGTGGCACATGTAATGCACACATGTACGTGCATGTATGTGTAGGAGTGTGTACGGCTCGTGTCACATGTGAGAGTGGTGTGTATGTGCATGTCGCACATGTGTCACATGTGGGAGTGGTGTGTATGTGCGTGTCGCACGTTTGTCACAAGTGGGAGTGGTGTGTGTTGCCCATGTGTCACATGTGGGAGTGGTATGTGCATGTCGCACGTGTGTCACATGTGGGAGTGGTGTGTCACATGTGGGAGTGGTGTGTCACATGTGGGAGTGGTGTGTCACATGTG